TCTTAAAGCAGCTCCATCTGGCCTTGCCTGCGTTATCTGAGTGGAGATCATCCACTGACATAACACTGTAGCCTGAGAGCAGCTCTGAGGGTTCATTTAGAGGGAAGGGGATGTTTTATTTAATGTATGGCTCAAGCCTTATAGCTCAGATGCCTCTGAGCTGTCTGGAGCAGGGCCAGGTGCACTGGCCATGATGTTCCCTTCCTCAGCGTTAACTGAAAAAAAACCAAACAAAAAAAAAACAAAACAAAACAAAACAAAAAAAAACAACCCAAAAAAACACCAACCAAAACCCAAACCAACAAAACTCCCCAATGTTGTTGAACTTCTGTGGTGGGGGAGTTACTGCACTCCAGTTCTGTGTCTGTTATAGGACTTCCCGTGGTTTTTCATCGAATCATGTGATTGACAATGCAGACAGTCTGCAAAGTTCTCAGTCTGTCTCGTTTGTACCCTCGTCCCAACCACGAAATCTGACTTCTGCTTTGTCTGGCAGAAGAAAACAAGATAGGGTGATGTGGTGGGGTGATTCACTGGAGCTGATAAGTGGTGTCTGTATTTAAACTGTGCCGCTCAAACCGTAATGTTACCTCTGTCTCTCACGTTTTCAAGGACTTTCTCAGGCTGGTTTATTTTAAGCTATCTGGGGTTGTCTGTCCCTGTGTGGGGTGGAAAGAAATGCAAATAACGGCTCCAATGGACCTGTTTATGTCAAGGCAAGGAGTTCAATAACTTAAATAGTGAACATGGTTGTATATTGGATCAAAACAGGGTTTGGGTTGGGAGAGACCTTAAAGCTCATCTCATTCCACACCCTGCCAAGACTTTCTGTCATCTTAGGTTGCTCCAAGCCCTGTCCAGCCTGGCCTTGGGCGCTGCCAGGGATCCAGGGGCAGCCACAGCTGCTCTGGGCACCCTGTGCCAGGGCCTGCCCACCCTGCCAGCCAGCAATTCCTGCCCAAGATGCCAAAATCTGTGCCTGCCCTGTGGCAGTGGCAGCCATTGCCTGTGTGCTGTCCCTGCAGGCCTTGTCCCCAGTCCCTGTGCAGCTCTCCTGGAGCCCCTGGAGGCCCTGGCAGGGGCTCTGAGGTGTCCCTGGAGCCTTCTCTTGTGCAGGGGAACAGCCCCAGCTGGGCCAGGCTGGCTCCAGAGCAGAGGGGCTCCATCTTTCCACACCATCCTTCCAAATAAACAGGGCAGTGAAGGAAAAAAAAGATGATTCATCCCATGCCAAGGCTTTTCCTCTATCATTAAGATTGCCATTTAAGATGCCTTAGCACAGTCTCCATTTTTAAGTGGTGCTAAAAATCTGGTTCATTGGAGTGTCACCAGCCAGGGCGCCAGTGTCTTTCCAGAAGTAAGTTGGATACAACAGCAGTAAGGTAGAAGAAAATAGATTTGTCCACTGCAGGTTTGACGTGCTACTTTGGCAATTTTGTTAACCATGATAAACTCCTCACCAGTGCTGGCTGGGTTATTTCTGGAAGTGCCCTGAGACCCATGTGGCCTGGTTGCTTTACAGTGTCACCTCTCTGTGTCTGCAGCACACAGCCAGGTCCCAAGGCTCCTGATCACTCATTTGAAGTGACATGCAGGAGACAGATGGTACAAATATGAATTTAAACATTCCTTGGACTGTCACCTGAAAATCTTGAAAAGATTTTTTAAAATCTTAAAGCTTTTTGGCATCAATCAAGCTTTTTACATGGTGTTTAAATCCTGCTGTTACAAATAGTTATAAAGTCATTCTCATAAAGAAGAAACTTTTGATGATTTTGTTTGTTAACAAATTCTGTTTTCAGTGAACACCCTGTTAGTGAAACAGTGTGGGTAGTTTTTTATCTCAAAGTGGATGGCTGCCATGGTTAATCTTGCAAGTTACATCATTGAATCACTGAGGCTGGAAAAGCCCTCTAAGATCATTGAGTTGAAACATTAACTCAGCAGGACTGTGCTCACTACTAAACCATATTCCCAAGTGCTGCATCCACACCCCAAAGATGCTGGTGCAGTTCTCTCCATGCTGGGCCTCTATGATTTCTCATTTTAAATGAATAAGAAACCATGGCCAGTACACAGCTGTGGGTCATTGCAGTCATCTAAAGAATGTGGGTTTGAATTGCTGGCCTGGAATTGTAATTTTTCATGTCTCATCAGCAATGCATTGAGCTGTCCTGAGCCTGCTGTTCAGGTGAACCATCAAAAATCCATCACTCCTAATGTTATCTACATTCTTTTTATATAGACTCAATCAAAACTGTGTATATGTAGTGGCAGTGTGTATTACTGCTCTCCTTAAAAATCTCATTCTCCTTGCCTGCATTTCCAAGACACCCCCGCAGGCTGTTCAAAGCACACGTAGAGAGTCCAGGCTGACTGCAGTGAGTTACAGCCTTTAATCTGAAATTGATTATTAAATTGCTACAGTACACTTGCAATAAATGGAAACATTGATCAGCCTGAAGAGAGGCTGAATAATAAAATTGATGCATGGCTTATTGCCTGAAAATATGAATGCTACCTGAGCCATTTTATGCTGCTCTTCCAGCTGAGAGATAATGGGATAGTAAAACCTGAGCATCTCAGATGCAGCTGTTGGAATTTTTGATGTAATTTTGCTTACTGTCATAAGGCTGAAGGTGTTTTTTAAGCTGCACAAGAGCCCAAGAATGGTCCCAGGCTACTGCCACAAATGTTTGCAAAGCCAGTAGCTACATCTGTGACCTGAAGGTGAAAAAGAGAGTTGTGTTTAATTCAATTCAAATTAGAATCTTTAATCACTTTCCCCTTCTTCCCTCCCAGAAGGGCTGCCATGGGCTGCATCCCTGGTGTGCAGCATGCCACCCCTGGGGTGAAGAGTGGCAGCTGTGTGAGACTTTCCTCTGGCTGGAAGTGTTGCCACGGTGCAATCAGCAATTCTGCTGATGCAGGGCTGAACAGAACGTGCTCCTGTCTACCCTGACCACAAGCCAGGAAGTTTTGGAAGGAAGTGGGGAAGATTACACTGAGGATAAGCAGAGTAGAATGTCAGGGCTTTTTTTAAACAAAATAAATACTAATGAAAATATACATGAGGGCTTGGTGGGGGGGTGGCAGAGGGGGAAGACAGGGACAACTTCAGAACTTGGAGCCAAGTTGGGAAGGGATAGAGAATGTCCATGAAAAGGAGGATCTCATGAGCCTGGTGGGAAAAGAAAGGTTAGGTGAGTACAAAAGAGAAAAGTATGCTAAAGAGAGAGGATAAGGATGCGGTGGAAGGGAGTTGGCATGGCAGTAGGCTGGGAAATTGGAAGTGAGAGGTGGTGATGAGTGTGGGTCTAAGGACCTAAGAGTGAAAAAACCAAGTGATGCAGAAGATTCCAAGTGATGCAGAAGATTAAACAGGCTGGTCAAAACAGACTTGGAGAAGAGAGGTTGTAGAGAGGTGGTAGAAAGTGGTTTAGATGCATAGAATGGCTGTGGGAGAGTTCTCTACCACAAACTGCATGTCTGACACAGGAAATTAAACTTGCTGATGTACCTTTGAGATTCTGGGCTTTGAACTCAACAGGAGTTAGATGCAGAAGAGCCTTTAACAACCTTACCTTTTAGCTGCCTGGGTTCCTTGAACAGAGATAGTGCAGAATCCTTTAGGTTGGAAAGGGCCTCCAGGATCCTGGAGTTCAGCTGCTCTCCCAGCACTGCCAAGGCCACCACAAGCCCATGTCCCCAGTGCCACATCCACATGTTTCTACAACTTTTCTACAAGTGTACATGTTTTCTGACTCCAAGAGCACAAATAACATGGGAGCATTGAAGTTAAATACCTAACCCTGAAAACCAAGTGTCCAGGAAGTGCCCCTCAAAGGAGACTGATCCAGCCAGAATCCTTGTACCCTTAGGGCAAGGAAACAGGACACTGGGCTCAAGAAATAGGATAGGGAATCCCTTCATTATTAATGGGCAAAGAGGCTCCTTAGCCATTGCTGTGCTTGTTCTGATCATGTCACACGGTGGAGTTTATTCTTAGTCTTAGCCACAGCCTTATAAATAATAAAATGGGTCATGTTTTATCTTACCCCAGTGATCACTGTAATGCGGCTTTTGCCTGAGACTCTGCCAAGCTCAGACACAGGCAACATTTAGAAGTGTATAAAGTGAAGAGCACAATACAAAAGTAGACTCAGCTCTTTCCAAAATACGCACTTACCAGGAATGAACCTGGTGGGTTTGCAGTGTGCTTTGGGAGGGAAAAAATGAGAAAAATGGGAACTTGAGCGTGTCTGTCTCTTCTCTCTGGTGACTGGGGACAGGACCCAGGGCACAGCTGGAGCTGTGCCAGGGAGGTTTAGGTTGGAGATCAGGGAAAGGTTCTTCCCCAGAGGGTGCTGGCACTGCCCAGGCTCCTCAGGGAATGGGCACAGCCCTGAGGCTGCCAGAGCTCCAGGAGCCTTTGGACACCCTGCCAGGGATGCTCAGGGTGGGATTGTTGGGGGGCTGTGCAGGGCAAGAGCTGGGCTGGGTGATCCTTGGGGGTGCCCTCCAACTTGGGATATTCTGTGATCCAATGATACCATGAACTGTGTTTATGCTTTCAGCCTTTTCAGAGGATTCTCCTGCTAAGGAGCCAAGTACAATTAATCACAAAATGTTTTTAAGGGAAAATGCAATAAATGCATTTGTACATGCACGAGCAAGAAGGCTTTTGAGGAGCTGCTAAAAATGAGTTTTCCTTAAGACCTTTGTGTTTTGTAAAGGATTCACGTGTTTTGTCTGTTAACAGGCAAATGGATTGTGACCAACAGTAAAAGGCTCGAATACAATATGCTAATGTAGCATTTATTCAAAGAAGAAATTATAAATTATCTCTTTACCCTATAAATATTTTCCTTGGGTTCTAATGGTTTAGTTCTTTCCATTATTTTTTTCACCAAACCTCTTTCTTCAGTGTTTATGTGGGCTGTGTGTTTGTAAGCAGACATGCAAACCTTCCCTCACTGGAGTCTGGCTTCTTGTTGCAGAAGTTCCCCGAGCTGAAGTTTAAGTACGTGGAGGAGGAGCAGCCTGAGGAGTTCTTCATCCCCTACGTGTGGTCCCTGGTGTACAACTCTGCCGTGGCCCTGTACTGGAACCCCCGTGACATCCAGCTCTTCACCATGGACTCGGGCTGAGGGACACCCGGGCCAGCCCAGCCCCGCTCCATCTGACAGGAATTGAACCTCTGCACCCCTTCCAACCTGACCCCCTCCAACTGCCCCCTACGACCCCAGAGCCAGTGTCCAGCCCAGCCTCACGCTGGGACAGACTGGTGTGGGGCACTGATGGCTTGTAGGCAACCTTGTGTTTATAGTCTGTAACCTAGAGCTTGTTTGATGAAAATGAGGCCTTACACATGGGGTGTGATGTTACTACCAAACACAAACCTGAACGTCCTTTTAACTTAACAGGCTAAATGAGATTGCAGGCTTTGATTTGGAAGCAGTGTTTGTATTTTTGGCTCTTTTGAATGGGCAGCTTCCTTGGGTCAAGCTTTTTATGGTCTCTTGGATGCTGCTGTGGGGTGCTCGTTACCTGTCCTTGTTTCCACTCACAGCCCTTCCTTTCCGTGGCACTGTCAAGGCTGCAGCCCTTAAATTGCTGTCTACGCTGTCATCCGAGGGAACTAAGCAGCATCTTAATCAGGTTAGCTCCCAGGCAGATTCAAAACACTTGATTTAGATGTTTGTGGGAGGATTTTCAATAGCAAGTCTTCTGTTGTTGTTGTTGTTTGACTGACAAATACTCTCCAGAGGGCAAGAAACACCTGCTTTCGGAGTCAAGTCCCTTACAGACTTGTTTTTCTGTGCTCCTGTGCAAAATTGTTCCTGGAAATTGAACGTGTAAGGGGGGAAAAAGTCCAAAGAAAATAATTACAAGATTGTAAAATAGACCAGTGTCCTGTAAATCTGTGCGTAATGGTGACAGTGTGTTTTGGGGATCCTTGACAAAACTCTGTGTTGAAAACCTCCTCTTGGCTTTTAAAGTTTTATGGCAGAAGTATAAATTTATCTGAATGTAGAATACTACTCTCTTTTCTGTTTGTTTTCAAGTGCCCTTTCCTGATACACCTGTTTCAGCAGTGGGAAAAGCAAAAGAAGTGGTGTGATTTTGAAAGAAATCGCATTTTTCAAAGTGGGGATCATATTTTGGGGATGCCTGTTGCACACATGTGCACCCACTCTCCTCGTCCCACGTGCTGCTGTGTGGGGGACTGTCAGCAGTGCATTGCATGCCAAAACTTCAATTTCAATGAATTAGTTCTTGAAGATGCGTGGCAACCCTCTGTCTTCACTGCCTGCTCCAGCATGTTCCGTTTGTTGACCTGAGGAATCGGGTGCATTTGCTTTCAGAAAGTCCTTTGAATGGCTTTAAATAGAATTTCTTGCACCGTTTCATCCCTCTGAAGGATGTGCTAAGATTGTACTTTCCTTTTATCTGCTTATTTAGAGACAGAAGTCCATTTGAGTCCTACACAAATGGAAATGCTGGCTTATTTAAAAAAAAAAAAAAAAAAAAAAAAAAAAAAAGCTTTTTAAATTTTTTTAAAAAAAAAGGAAAAAGAATGATTGGTTTTTTTAAAAAAAAAAAAAAAAAAAAAAAAAAAAAAAGCTTTCTAAATTTATTTAAATATAGCTGCAAAGGGATATATAGAGCCCATAAGCATTTAGGACTTTGAAATGGCAGAAGCTTTTGAGAAAAGACGATGGTAAGATTGGAGATGCAGTGTTTTCTTAGGCAAATAGGAGAAATTAATGAACCATGACTGAGCTGCACATAAGTTGATCTGTATTTTGGATTTATTCTGTTTTGTTTTGGTCTTTGAGCAAACGTCAAAAGGGGATAACTATTCTTGGTTACTGTAGTGATTTGTAATTTTGTCTTTATTAAAAGACTAAGAGTGTTTGTGAGTCAACAGGGCTGCCCAGATTTGGAAAGGTCAGTCTGAAGATGCACTTTTAAACCGTGGATTCTGAAGCTGCTGGGCTGGCTCAAGGTTCATCTGTTTTAAACACTCCGGGGTGAGCAGAACCAGAGAGGGCAGACACTGCTCAGCCAGGTGTCAGACTGCAGAAGACCTGATCTGTCTGTGAAAAGGCTTTTTGCAAGAGAGGAGCACATAAGGCAGCAGTCTGACAGAACAGGTCCAGCAGCTGCTGGGCCACCATCGGCGTCGCACAGAAAATTCTCTCTCGCTGTCCTCCCGTTGTGGTGACACTGAGCTGCAGAGGGTTTGTTCTGACTGCGTAACTTCCTTGTGTGTCCATGAAATACCCTGCTCCTGGGTCCCAACTGGTTTGGAACATCTGGAGTTACCACCTAACGCCAAAACAGCAGAGCCAGACTGAGATTTAGGCAGAAATTCATGCTGGCCCTGTTGGCTCTCCCAAAAGCTGGAGTGTGACGTGAGCCTGGCAGTGTCCTGACATCTGCAGTCTGGTACAGTCACAAATACTCTGTTTTTCCTTCACCTTAGGAATCCTTTTCATTACTTTGTGTGAAAGATTTATTATGCATAATTACAAAAATAAAAAAGATGAAACAGTAAATACAGGGTGGTGTGTTTTATGTCACTGGTCTTGGTGTGGTCATCAGGCCCAACCTGACCAAGGTTTTATAATGTCCTCCATGATGTGCAGTTAAGAAGAATGTAATTTTATTTGTTGCATAAAGTAAATCAGTGTTCAAGTCAGTGTCTGGTAAAGGCAGGAACAGGTCATGCTGCAGTGTTACGTGGAATGTCACCTCTTGCCAGCTCAGCTTTAATGGTCACAGTGGCCATGGCCTGGAGGGGCACTGGGAATGTGCAGTCATGGGGAGAAGCAGAGGAGGGACAGGGTTGTCCACGCAAGACCAGACCTGATGTGTTGCTGCACCCTCGATTCCCTTTTCTGTCCATTTCAGCTGATGGTGTCTCTGGTTTTGGGGTGGGTGCTGCACCAGGACCTTCTCCTGACCACACTCATATTTGGGGTGCCCTAACTGTGGCCTTGCAGTACCTGCATGTACTGACAGGAGCTGGAGAGGGACTTTGGGAAGGGGCCGGCAAGGACAGAAAAAGGGGGAATGGCTTCCCACTGCCAGAGAGCAGGGGCAGATGGGATATTGGGCAGGAATTGCTGGCTGGCAGGGTGGGCAGGCCCTGGCACAGGGTGCCCAGAGCAGCTGGGGCTGCCCCTGGATCCCTGGCAGTGTCCAAGCCAGGCTGGATGGGGCTTGGAGCAACCTGGGACAGTGGAAGGTGTCCCTGCCCGTGGCAGGGGGTGGAACAAGGTGGGTTTTAAAGTCCCTTCCAACCCAGACCATTCTGAGATTCTATTATAATATTCTTGCTCTGAGTGCTGATCACTGGTGTCACCACCTGCCCGGGCTCCCTGAGCAGCTGTGGAGAAGGAAATCCATCACTGCGGGGCTGGGCAGGAGAAGGCAGGTCTGCTCTCAGGGGACCATCCCTTCCAGAAGACCAAACAGGCAGGAAACTCAGCTGCTGTGTAAGTTGGTGGAGTGGGAGTTGAGGAGCCTCATGCACTGTCCCTGGTGAGGCAGAAATCCTCCCTCAGGCAGTGGAGTGAAACTGCTCTTGCTGTGAAAGAGAGATGGGGGTCGGGGCGGGGAGGCTGGAAGAGATGAACGCACTGGGCATCATTCACTTTGGCAAAAGCAATCCAAAAACCTGCCAGATTTCTTGGTGTTTCTTGACCCTAATAGACTAAAACCAGAGAGTATTGGCAAGTTACAGGGGGAAAAAAACCCCAAGCTGTTTTGTACGTGCCACTAGATTGTTGATCTACCAGTTAAACAGGAAAGGAAGAAGCAAACAACTCCCCTCCCTTATTTGGAAACTCTAAAGATTTTGTACAACCTTTTCTACTGGTTTTATCATTGCATATGTTGTCTAATTCAGCCAAGTAAAGGTCAAATCTCATATTTAGTCAGCCCCAGGCTCTCTCATAATTGATTGGGCTTGGTCTGCAAAAACTCCACCTTCTGTGCTGTCAGAGCAGGAGTTTTCTAATATATTTCACTTCCTAGAATCACCTGATCACAGCAAATATTTTCCTATTTCTACCCATTCCCCCTTTGGCCACTTCACCTAAAAATTTGTACCATTGGTACTGACAATACTGTAAAATTCAGCATCCCAGTTGCTTTTGTGCTGGATTCATTGTTAATTTTGGGATTTGAGGGAGTTATTATTGCTATATTTATTGTTTGTTATTGCTAACAACTAGCAGTGCTGAAGGTGACAGCTCCGCATCTGAGGGCAAGACACAACAGCCTCGTCCTGAGCCCCTGGATTCTGAAGCCTCAGCTCTGGACAGTCGTGGCAGAAGCCGTGGTGGCTGTGAGCTCTGGGTGTGTGCAGGTGTCCCCAGAGACTGTCCCGGATGCCACAAGGTTGGTTGTGGAGGTTGGGCTGGATAGAGCTGGGAATTGTTCTGGGCTTGGCCAGAAGGCTGGGTTTTAAACTCTTAGGAGTTACTGTTGATGGTGCCTTTGCACAGGCCAGTGGTGACACTCAGATGTCTGTGAGGGTTCAGGGAAAGGATCACAAGGCTGGGAGTTTCCCTGTTCTTTTCACTTTCAGGGAAGGAGCCTGTTGGCAGGACATCCCCGGGCTGCTGTGACATCACCAGGGGAGTGCTCCAGGCCATCCCCCTGCATGAGACATCAGCACACGTCACCAGCATTGCCTGATAACAGCTCTGCCAGCTGAAGATAATGGTATTCCAGACAAAAGGGCAGCTCTTTGCTCTGACCCCAGCAGCAGAGCTGTACTTCCTGCTGTGACTTTGGGAACAGCCACTCATAAGGAGCAGGGCAGGGAGGTGCCTGGGCAGTGGAGATGGTAGTTTAAAGTAATTACAGAATGTTTGGGTTAGAAGGGAATTTTAGAGATCCCAGGGCTGGAGCCCCTCTGCTCTGGAGCCAGCCTGGCCCAGCTGGGGCTGTTCCCCTGCACAAGAGAAGGCTCCAGGGACACCTCAGAGCCCCTGCCAGGGCCTCCAGGGGCTCCAGGAGAGCTGCACAGGGACTGGGGACAAGGCCTGCAGGGACAGCACACAGGCAATGGCTGCCACTGCCACAGGGCAGGCACAGATTTTGGCATCTTGGGCAGGAATTGCTGGCTGGCAGGGTGGGCAGGCCCTGGCACAGGGTGCCCAGAGAAATTGATGGGGCCATGGAAATGGCTGCAGAGTTGCATGGGCTTACTCACAAGCAGCAACCCATGAGCTACATCCCTCCTTTGCAAGCCCCCGACTACAGATTTTGGCATCCCTTCTCTGGGAATACCAGGGATGTCCCTGGAGTAACAGCTCTGTAGAAATGCTTTGCATTTTGGGGGCAGTTAACCCCAACCTTTGAGGTTCCAGCTGAGATTACAGCTCACATTCATTCAGTCATCACTGCTGGGTTATTGCTGGTGGATGCATTTCGGATGTTGGGGCTGTGCTGCCTGCCTGTAAGTGAATTTCCTCCATGGAGTGTTTGGTGTTGGAGGCTCTGCTACCACCCATGGACTGTGACAGCACTGACATGTACCCAAATAAATGAAAATGTCACTATCAGTGAATCCCTCCAGATCACGACTCCAATACACTGTGGAGCTGCCAAACTGGGACAATTTGAATGAGAGATTTAAAGTGAAGAGATGATTTTTTTTTAATGCTGCTGAAGTGCACGGCATAATCCTTCATCATCACTTTAAAAACTGTCTTAAAATTAATCCAAAATGAATATGTCTTGGCAGACGTGATGAAATGTTCAGCTGTACATAATGTTTTTGCCAGATGTCTTGGCAAACTAAATGGCAGACTTCAGTCTTCCTTGCAGTCACTTTGTGCTGCTGAAAGCCCTGAATGTGGTGGCACCCGGGGAAAATTGAGGATCCGGAGAGCAGCAGTGACAAAGTAGGTGACGTCCCGATGATGCTACCCTGGCCCCTCCTCCTATTTATGAAACGACAAAAAAAATGCTTTTCAAAGAGCAAAACAGCTTATTAAAAACTGGCAATTTAAACTAGGAACAGCTGTCCTCAGCCTGCTGTTTCTATTTTTGTACCTGGAGCTGTTGTCAGGGTCCATCCCTCTCCCCATGCAGCTCCTGCATCCAGTGTGCAGTGCCCCCCCTCCATGAATCCTGCTGGGTGTGGGGCTTGGGGTGTAGGGGACCAGGGGTGCTCAGCCCCACCAGAGCTGTCTGTCCCTGTTTAAGGACTGTATCAGCTTGAGAATAATGGGAATAAAACACTCAGGCAAAACCATGTCTGCAGGTTCAAAACCTCTTACAAAACAGGTTCTTGAAGGCCTAGAAATGTGGGAGTTTTCCTAAAACATCCTTGTGTGTTTTGTCATTGGTCAGGCTGTACCTAGAGGGGGGAAAGCCATCATTCCATGATGTGGGATATTCAGTATCTGTTATATTTTCCGGGATGAGCTTCAGAATGAAGGTTCTGCTTAGCGCCTTGTGTGCTGTCCATGTCTCTGCATGGTGAG